ATACTCCAAATTTGATTACAATATCTCATTCCTAACTCTAGTTATTGTCCGGAACCATTTTTTTATCATAGAAACTTTGGCCTTGACCTCGGGGGGTCCAAATGTAATACCAACTGGGCATTTCATATAAGCTTGCAATACACCAAGTTTGATTACAAAACCTCTTTCCTAACTCTAGAACTATCCAAAACTTTTTTTCTATTTTCAGTACTGGTGACCTTTACCTTGAGCCAAGGAAGTCTAAATGATATACCAGCTAAGGTCTTCATATATGTTAGGACAATAATAAGAGTTAGGAATGAGATATTGTAATCAAACTTGGTGTTTAGCAAGCACATATGAAGACCTCGTCTGGTTGTTTATATGTCTAATGTCTTTTTTTCTATTTTCAGTTCTAGAGACTCCTAAAAAGGGCCAATCAAAATAATATGAAACAAGGGTGCCATAGTCACAAAATACGCCCGTTTACGAAAGCTTTAGATGGAGATGGGGGCATTATGGATAAGTGTTATCTAGCAAGCAAGTTTTTATTCTTGGCACTGTGTTGTTAAATGAACCTTAAAACAAATCAGTAGGGAAGATATGCACAGGATGTGTGACCTTGACCTTGGTTGCAGGGACCTGAATTTTATGCACGGCACTCAGCCTCACAATGATGAACATTTGTGCCAAAATATATTGAAATCCCTCTATGCATGTAAAAGTTTTGCTCCAGACAAGCGTTTTTCTATGAGCTCTAACTGTGACCTTCACCTTTGACCTAGAGACTTGGTTTATGTGCAGGGCACTACGTCTCATGGTGGTGAACAATTCTATAAAGTAACATTAAAATTCCTCCATGCATGTAGAAATTATGCTCCGGACAACATCTGGATATTTAATCATCTCCAGTGACCTTGACCTTGCAAATATTAACCTATATTAAATGTGTCACACCTGTAGTCATGATAGTTACCATTTGTGCTACAATCCATCAATAAATGATGACTAAATGGTCCCTATACACATCTTCAAATTTTTATCTGAACTTTGACCTCTATGTGTAACATTGACTTTGGTCGCAGGGATCTGAATTTTGCGTGCGACACTCAGCCTCACAATGGTGAACATTTGTGCCAAGTTATATTGAAATCCCCCTATGAATTTAGAAGTTTTGCTCCGGACAAGCGTTTTTCAATGAGCTCTAAGCGTGACCTTGACCTTTGACCTGGAGACCTGGATCATGCATGGAGCAATACATATCATGGTGGTGAACATTTCCATAAAGTATTATAAAAATTCTTCCATACATGTAGGAGATATGCTCCAGACAAAATCTGGATATTTCACCATCTTTAGTGACATTGACCTTGCATATATTGACCTAAAGTACATGTGTCACAGCCGTAGTCATGATAATGACCATTTGTGTTACAATCCTTCAATAAATGATGATTAAATCGTCCCTATACACATCTTCATATTTTTATCTAAACTTTGACCTCTATGTGTGACCTTGACCTTGGCCGCAAGGACCTGAATCTTGCGCGCGACACTCCACCTCACAATGGTGAACATTTGTGCCAAGTAATATTGAAATCCCTCTATACATGTGGAAGTTTTGCTCCGGACAAGCATTTTTCAATGAGCTCCAAGTGTGACCTTGACCTTTGACCTAGAGACCTGGTTCATGTGCGCGACACTGCTCCTCATAGTGGTGAACATTTCTATGAAGTTTCATGAAAATCTCTCCATACATGTAGGAGAGCTGAACTGATATTTACTTGAAAATTAAAATATAATTAAATTTCTATGAGAAAGTATTTACATTTGATAAGGTAATTACTGTATGATCTTTATGAACAAATACCAAGTCTACAGAACACCATAGTTATCACAGTTAAGAATCTTGACCAATGAATGAAACATGTGTAAATAAATGTTACATTCTTTAGAACATACTCGAGTCCAAGAAAGAGGATTATTTTATGCCCTTTGATTAAATTCTATTTTTAGAATTGAAAGTGAAAGTAGATCAAGGGGAGTAATTGTGTAAGTCATTTATGAACAAAGTAATAACTTTGTTGTCGCCCTTTGATTAAATTCTATTTACAAAATCTGGATATTTCATCATCTTTAGTGACCTTGACCTTGTATATATTGACCTAAATTATATGTATCACAGCCATAGTCTTGATAATGACCATTTGTGTTACAATCCCTCAATAAATGATGACTAAATGGTCCATATACACATCTTCATATTTTTATCTGAACTTTGACCTCTATGTGTGACCTTGACCTTGGCCGCAAGGACCTGAATCTTGCGCGCGACACTCTGCCTCACAATGGTGAACATTTGTGCCAAGTAATATTGAAATCCCTCTATACATGTGGAAGTTTTGCTCCGGACAAGCATTTTTCAATGAGCTCTAAGTGTGACCTTGACCTTTGACCTAGAGACCTGATTCATGTGCGCGACACTGCTCCTCATAGTGGTGAACATTTCTATGAAGTTTCATTTAAATTCCTCCATACATGTAGGAGATATGCTCCGGACAAAATTGGACGCCGCCCGCCCGACCACCCGCCCGCCAGGGGCGTTCCCATAATACGTCCCGTTTTTCAAACGGGCGTATAAAAATTGATAAAACACTACCTAAGAATGCTACAGACAAAGCTTGGTGACCATCAATCAATTAGTTCTGTAGAAATGGATGTCTTAAGGTTTTTTTTTCTATATTTAGCTCTAGAGACCCCTAAAACGGGCCAATCAAATTATTATGAGCAAATTTGAAAAAAACACTAGATAAGAATGCTACAAAGTTTGGTGATCATCTATCATTTACTTCAGTACAAGATAATGTCTTAAGGTTTTTTTCTATTTTACCTCTGGAGGCCCCTAAAATGGATTTGCAAAATTTGTAAAAGGCTACATAAGAATGCTACAGACAAAGTTTGGTGATAATCCATTAATTAGTTCTGTAGAATAAGATATCTAAAGGTTTTTCTATTTCTAACTCTAGAGACCCTCAAATTAATGAGCAAATTTGAGAAAAGACTACCTTAATAGAATGCAACTGAAAACGTTTGAGGATCATCAATCAATTAGTTTTGTATAAATAGATGTCTAAAGGTTTTTCTCCTCTTTTAGCACTAGAGACCCCTAAAAGGGGCCAATCAAATAAATATGAGCAAATTTGATTACAGACTACATAACAATGCTACAGACAAGGTCTAGTGATCATGAATCAATTAGTTCTGTAGAAGATGTCTACAGCACTATTAAGTGTTGAGAATTGAGTTCTGCTCAAGCCGGTGCTTAGGGACGTGAGAGATGTTGCACTTATTCATTATCCCTCATGTATAGACTTAATTAAACCGAGTCTGCAATTTTCATGTAATTTTGTTGTGATTTATGCTTTCGAGGGATCACTTTGTTTCCAGATTATTTATACTTCACAACAGCAGGTGTCAAGTTCTGTGTGGCAGCTGTAAAAAGTTACCCATACTTCACTTCAGTGATGTTATATTTTTTTGGTCTTTCGGGATCATTGATGCCAGCACTATTAAGTGTTGAGAATTGAGCAGCGCTCAAGCCGGTGCTGGGGGGGGGGGTGAGGGGTGTTGCACTTATTAATTATCCCTCATGTACAGACCCAACCAAACCGATTCTGCAATTTTCATGTAATTTTGATGTGATAAATGCTTCCGAGGGATCACTTTGTTTCCAGATGTGTTTCTATTTCAGCTCTCTTGACCCCTAAAAGGGGCCAAAAAATTTTGCAATGGTAAGAGCAAATTTAGGTGTGACAGTCACAAGGATGCTACAGACCAATTTTGAAGTGAATCTGTCCAGTTGTTTCAGAGAAGAAGATGAATGCATGTTGACGAATGACAACGGACGCCTGAGCATCCCCTTTTGATACTAATAGCTCACCCTGAACCTTCGGAACTAATGAGCTAATACGGACAAAGGAAAATCAATGATCCCCCTGGGGCAGGACCAATTTTGACCCCGGGGCTTTTATTTGGGCAAACTTGGTACATTTACTAGAAGATGTTTCATGCTCTAGCTATTTGAGTTTTTTTAAAAGAGATTTTTTACGTTCTTTTTATATACATATAAGGGAAATCATTGACCCCCGGGGTAGGGCCAATTTTGACCCTAGGGCTTTTATTTGAAAAACTTGGTAGACACTCACAAGAAGATGTTTCATGCCGAATATCTAATCTCTAGCTCTTTGGATTTTTTTTTTAAAGAATTCTTTTTAAGTTTTTTTCTTTAGCCTGCCATGGCAACCAGAGTTCTGCATGGAATAAAAATCTTTGATCAATTTTAAAAGGTGACCACCAAAGGAACATTCCTGTGAAGGTTGGATGAAACTGGCTTAGTGGTTTATGAGGAAATGTCATTTAAAGTAAAAGTTTACGGCTTACCTTGTCGAAATAACCAAATCTTTCCAGTCTCATGATAAAACCAGATTAAGTCTTTTAATTGAATGGGATAAATTTTCTCTAGATTTAGCAGACAACAACCAATCCACATTAATATCTACACTTTTTCTTTAAAAAATAAAACAAACATAACAATAGAACTAATATTTCACTAAAGATGACACAGGATTGCCAAATTGATACCCCCACATGACACAGGGTATTAAGTAGTGCAATTTATCATTTCGTTTAAAAGTTAATATTTTAGGGCAGAAACAAAATGTTCAAATCATGACCTTCAAGGGTGACGTTAAGCCTGCATTATTGCAATCAGAGTGTTTGAACATTGCCTTGCTGAGTTGAACTTACACGCCAAGAGATTGAAAAATCTTTCCAGTCTTATAGGATTTATAAAGTGGACATGATGAGACGGATGGACCGAACAACTGATTGACCGACATGACATATTCATTCCAGTATCCCCTCTTCCATATCATGTTTAGGGGAAGTAATAATTAAACAAACATAACTTTGTATATATAAGACTTTAATGTTTACAAATATCAAAAAAATTAAATTAAATTACACGTACATGTAATATTAATACAAAAATAATTTATTCACTGAATGCTCTTAAAAGCTGAAAAAAAGATCAGTGAAACATTGACAATTATTTATCTTTCATCTTTTTCTGTCGCAAAGAAGTAGACATACAACTAGAAAAGTTTATCCCTTAAACACACTGATGTACACTTAAATATATGACAAGCATAATTAACCCATCAAACTTCAATGTCAGAAATTTCATTATCTTGTTCATAACCCGCTAGCTTCTGATACTGCGGGGAAGATATTCCTGGTGTCGGAGAACTTGTATCCTTCCCGCTATATATTTTCAATAAGTTTTTATCTTTATCAATGAGATCACCTTTTGGTTTCTTTTCACGCTTTCTTCTCGGTTTATCTTCTGCACTATTTTTTGCCTGTTTAAGCTCTCTGGTAATATCATCAGCATTTCTTGGTGTAAGAATCTGCTGAGGTAATGGACTACCTTCACGATATACAGGTGTCTCCTTAATTGGCATGAATGGTGACAATTTTCCGGATTTCGGTTCTGTATCCTGATTCCTTGCTTTCTTTGCTACTGTTTTTGGTTTTGAGTCTTCGATCTGGATTTTTGGTATATCTAGAACATTTGATGCTGGCGATGATGTGTCTCTTGGAGAACCAATCTGTTCTGGTAGAAATGATCCTAGACTGATTGATCGTAATGATGAAGGCGTGGCAGACATTGACGGGTACATGGTAGGAGAACGACGACCAATCATCATAGGTGGTCTTTGAAGTTCAATATTTCTGGTGGTAAGTGGGGCTGGGGAATTAGAGCTCATCTTGCCCACTGTATCAGTCACATGTTTTAGATGGGCAAGTGGTGCCAATGAGGAGTCAGCACGTCCCATATCTGTCACATGGCGCTGATGGCCTAAAGGTGCTCTTGATGGAGTAATTTTGTCTCGGTCAATCTCGTCAAATAATGAACTTGGTTTCACATCTGAATAAAAACAACAATACATGTATAATAATTGCCAGCAACATTTCTCCATCAGTTCCTATATCTGTTAAATGTATATACAAATGTACCTTAAATTAGTTCACCCTTGGTAACAGTAACTAAGTTTTTTCAAAATGACACAAAATGTACAAAAATGTATTCAATATTGCATTACATACATGATACAAATATTGAAGGCAAAACCAATTAATGGCTTTATTACTTAAACCTAATTATCCTTCTAAATCTATGAAATTGTCCCACTAGGCTTGAATGCGAAAAAAGTCAAAAAGTACATTAAAGGAGTTCTGTAACTGAGAAGCTTGCCCTAAAGATACCTTGTAGGGATGTGCAGTCTGACCTGGCTTTATACTGATGCTAAAAGATCTTTTATTATTATTTATAACAACCAGAATCCAAAGAGTTAAGAAAATTAAAAGTTACCTTGTATATAAGTGCTAGCCTTTGCTCCACCCACTGACTTGTATTTCTTCCACAATCTCCTTGCAATAACAGCAAGAATTATAGCCACTATTGTGGCAATACCAAACAAGACACCAAAGGCTATAGCAACGCCAGAGCTTGTACCATCATTGCTACCCTGCTGACCAGCTTCGACCGATGTTTTGGTTTAAACATATTTATTTAAGCTCGATTGCGAAACAAGTTCTTGCAACTTATATTAATCACTTTCGAGTCCGCTTCCTGGAACCAACCAGTACTGGTGTCATGTGGAGAAACATGGTCGTGACCCGAGTAGGGCTCGAACCCATGATCTCTGGGTTGAGAGGCAGACACCTTAACCGATGTTTTAACTGCCAATAATAAAACAAGCTAAGTAAACGGCAAACTCTCATTTAATACTGATATTTTAAAGGCCCATAATGCCTCAGAAATGCTGTTATTTTTATTTCTGGAAAGCTTTTTAATTTTGTTGTACTTTTATAAAATCCCAAAAGTTATTCACTGGAAATTTACCAGAACAATCTTTTTCATCTGTTGCTTTTTTGCAATAAGTATAGTTATAGTGAATTAGTATTTTGTATGAAAGTCAAAATACTACTCTGTTTACATTTTGTTTCTTTTATGACAAATTATTTGACATTTTTTCGCTGCTTTTTTAAAGATAACAAACATCAAACATTCTTTAAAACCATTATTAAACATTATAAAATTAATGTTTGCCCTTTCTAAAGGCGTAAAAATTTTCTAAAGGCGTAAAGATTTATTTGTTTATGTGGCCTAATGTACCTTCAATTATTCTCTTGATTCTACATATCAAGTCTTCTACTGGTACAGTTTAAATTTACAGTGTCAGTTAGGGTAATATGTATATAACAACGACTAAAGAGCCTGCTGAAACAGAACAGATCTTTACCACTTAAAATTATAGTTTTACTAATTAAAATGAAAGGTTATTTTCAATGTAAAGCAATGCACCTGTCAATTTTACAAACAATTACTAAACCTTTGGCACCAAGTGCACATGCAGATGAAACATTCCATGCTTAAACTGCTCCTACACTGCAAGTCTGAGCATACATGTATTACCTGCCATTGTGGCTTACAAAACAAAATTCAAATTACCTGACACCTGAGGGGACTAAATATTTTAAGAGCTTGGCTTATCTTATTGGAGAGGTCATCAGACCTCTCCATAGTGTTCAGACTGATTGCTGGCGGCATCCATTTTTGCGTATCTGATTGTAGTGAATGAATCTCATTTTAAGCATAAAATCATTAGGAGCAGTCTACAAAAATTGTTTTGCGCATGCCCCGTTTCAAAATACGGCTTAACTTAAACGAAAAATTAACATCGAAGTGATAGAAAAATCGGAAAATATCATTTACGTTACTTAGAACTACGTGGATGTTTCATTCCGTTTATTCTTTTAAACTGTATAAATCGATTACATTATTGTTTTCTGAATAACGTTTTACTATTTCGTGTTCCGATAAATAGTAACAGTGAACATTGTAGCTACAATATAAACCATGCATAATACGCCTTCGTGGTCAAGGGGTTAGAGTCGATGACTACTAAACCAGTCATCTCTCTGACGTGGGTTCGATCCCCGGGAGATTCCTTTTTTTTTTTTTTTTTTTTTTGATAGTTTAGCGGGAGGAAGGTTGTCTAGTACAGGTGTAACTCTCCAGGAACGATGGTTAGAAAACTACCCGCCTATATGACTGAAATACTGTTGGGAAAAGGCGTAAAATGAAACTAACAAACGAACAAACACTATTATATGACCAAGTGAACCGTGTATTGAACCCACAGTATATACACGATTTGAACCCCAACCGTATCTTGAGAAGATGTCAGTGTCAACCATTTTCTGACGCTTAACCTGTTTAATATATTGGTATTTATATTGATACTTATGGACGTTAGGTTAGTGAATCTATATTTGTATCGTAGAAGAGAAACTTTAAGCGTTTAAGTTATACAACATCTAAATGTTAATAATCGAAACTCACGAACTGATTTCAGGTGATCAACACTGAACACTAGCAAAAATCCGTCTTATTTCAAGGTTTATTTAGTTAAACATTGAATTGTGATATCGAACTACTAAAATGATCAATAACAAACGATAATTTAGTCATCTGCAAAAAATATTGCTGTATTTTGAACATTAAATTAAGAGTTTAACAAAGGAGGTCAATTCCGTAAACTGAACGTTACTTGCTGGTGATTGTGAACCCTACTTGTGAGTTTACGAATTTTATCTGTACCCTGACTTGTGAGTATTTTTAAAGATTAAATGGAGAGAACGTTAATTATTTAACGTATTTATTTGTTTATTGAAAGGCAAAATGGAATAATTTAGTTGTCTTCATTGCCCCCTTTCTCTTCAAACATAATCGGAACGCTATTGTTCATAATTTGGACATCAGAACAAAAGCTTAACATAACAATTTCTCAGCTTGACAGCAATAACAGAAACATTAAAATCATACTCAAAAGACTTTAGAATTATTCCAAAAGAACTGAAAAAAGGACTTTAAAAGCAAATGATATTACAAAAACAGTAAAAATTTCAAGACAAGAAGGAATTGAAAAATAATCTCCAATCAAGAAATGTCATAAAATTAAAACGCCTGTTAAAGATGTTCACACATCGACAAAAGATACGTTTTTTAGTACAGATGACGTAGAGATTAAGTTTAAACTTGGTGTCAACTTATTCCACAGATCCAACATTTATGTTGCGTTTTCAGGGGAGTGTTTGTTACATGAAAGCTACTGCCAAGACCCTCTACTACAAATGATTCATCCAAATCCATCTGAAATACATGTATATGGCAATTTATAGAAAGGAACTGGATTTTTATATATATCTTTTGACTTAAGATAACTTATGATAGCCAATGATAGCCAACTTTTTAAGTTGTGTGAAAAGAAAACTAACTAGTTATCTTAGACACCGACAAGACTGTAAACTATTTTTAAAAAATAAGTGGAAATAAACTTGCAAGAGTGAAAACTACCTTTTAGACATTTAACAAAAATATGCAGGAAACTCCTTAAAATGTTTTACAGTCCAACCCCGTTTATTCGAAGTGCCTGGGACTGAGTATTTACTTCGAATAATCGATGGGTTCGAATAATCGAAATCGGAATATTTTGATAGACGAAATCTACTCCACTTTGACCAATCATAGCAAAACTACCGTTTACAACACACTTACTTCCTGTAATAAATTGAGGAAAATAAATATTAAAGAAAAGATGCGTAAAAATTATTGTGTTGACATTGAAGACATAAATACTTGCATTTTATTCTACATGATTATCGTTTCGCTTCGCGTAAAGCCTTGATAATGGCCGTGTTGTCACTACGGTATTTACAGCTAAACTCTGGTATTTTCGATTAGGAAAAAGGCTCTCATGTAGCGTTACAATTAATGAAAAAAATGTGTTGGATGTTTTGACAAATTTACATATACAGTATGTATGAAAATAATTGCCGTCATCTTCAAGCAATAACAGTAACAAAATCGGACACGGTGCATTGCTTTTCATTTTCGGTAATTAAAGTTGATTGAAGAACACACAAAGAGTTATTATCATGACTGTCTAAATGCACGCATGACTGTTGATATTTTTCACATGTCGACCGGTCAGCGAGTGGATCTGCGCCAATTAGTCTGGCTTCGAATAATAATTAGACTGGCTTCGAATAATAGGTTGTGAAATTCTTCCATAATTGTATAATCGGGACCGGAATTTATCTTCGTAAACTAGGAGGTATTCGGATATGCATTTCGAATAATATGTACTTATTAATATTAACTTATATAGAGATAAAAATGTGACCACCATCTTCTTCGGATAAAAATGCCTGGTATTCCAATAAAAGGGTTGTCGAATAACCGGGTCGGACTGTATTAAGAGTGTAGTCGTGCATGTTAGAAAAAGAAAGTCAAGGCATTACTGAGAATATAAAACCGTGTTTCAAAAAGCATATTGAAATCAACGGTAGGTGTAAAGCTTTCAACATGTTGAAATACTAGTAAGTAATATGCAAAAAAAAACTGTGATGATCTGTCGAGGAGGATGGATTGATATGTGACGTTATACAACGGTCACGTCAAAACCAACAACAATGTTGTTAAACTTAATAGAAGAAACGTTTATAGTACTTCTGTTATATCTTAGCTTTATATCTTTTCAAAGAAAAATGAATGGTAAATGAAGATAAGATTTGTTGATTGATAATTCCTGTCAAGAAATATTTTTTTTCCTAATTCGTATTACCAGCTACTTCATGCTAGTACATTGTATTTCCATGTAAAGTGAAAACATGATGAAGGTGCAGTATTGGTTACTTATGTAGAACTAAAAGATGTGTCATGCTCTTGTGACACAATAACTTCATATTCTGTAAGATATAATTTGGAACATAGGACAAAAACAATAAAAATCATCAAAAGTGACTCGCAAGTTATGGTTCAGAGAAAACACAAGTAGGGTACAGATCATTAAAATTGTTTTAGCAAGACGGGTACCGTTATCAGAAAGTTCGCCTCTATTTTTACTATGTTATTATTAACGGTCACACGAGGTAAGACAATAAAGTTAAGGTTCAGAAGATTCAGATATTAGTTATAGTGAAATAAAACAATTTAAGGCATAAATATGCGTGTGTAATCGGCGTGTGTTGACATAAAACAAAACACGAAGCGAAGAGCACAGCATTTTTGCGCATAAATTTAAAGAAGCTGTATATAGATGTATCTATAAGCAAAGAAAAAAAATTTCTTAACATGATTCAAATGTTTACATAACTTCACAGATTAAATGCAAGCCGTCTTAAAAAGTTTTATGGGTCACCCCGCCTGTTTGTACGGAACTGATGTTGAGATCTTCTCACAAGATCCGGTTGGGGTTCAAATCGTTTATATATGTCTAAATATAGCAAAGGGAGATTTTTTGGCACAAATGGCACAAATTTTACCTCAAGTTTGATTTTCTTCTAATATTGTGGTTGGAGGCATGCAGCTTTATATACTGTTTATTCCAATAAAAAGTATATAACAGTATAACAGTATATAATGCCCCGGTCACATATTCACGGATAATGGCACGGAAGGGCTACGGTCTAATTGTTCACG